ACACACACACACACACACACACTCACACTCACTCACTCACACAAATCATATTGGCTGTCATGTATGTTTTGTTGACCTTGGTTATTTGGTACACTCTTAAAAATAAAGGTGCTTCACGATGCCATAGAAGAACCTTTTTGTCTAAATGGTTCCATAAAGAACCTTTAACATCTGAAGAACCTTTCTGTTTCACAAAAGCTTCTTTGGGGTGAAAGAAGGTTCTTCAGATTATAAAAAGGTAAGAAAGAGATGGTTCTTTAAACAACCTTTGACTGAATGCTTCTTTGTGGAACCAAAAATTGTTTTTTATGGCATCGCTTGAAGAACCTTTTGAAGCACCTTTATTTTTAAGAGTGTATTTGATTTGTCACCAGTAAATTGTATATCTGTTTGCATAAAAAAAAAAAACATGGATATTCTAATAATAAATCAGCATATTAGAATGAAAATAAATAAACAAATAGAATAGAATAGAGCTAATGTTAGGGCGTCAAGTTATTATTTTTATAATAAATGAAAAGAAAACAAGCAGATAGAATAGAAATAAGAATAGACAGAGTTAGTGTTAGGGGGTCATGTTATTTTTTAATAAATAAAAAGAAAGGTAGATAGAATAGAGATTGCTAGTGTTAGAGGGTAAAGTTTTTTAAAATAATAAAAAAAAACAAGTAGATAGAATAAAAATACAACAGAGAGTGCAAGTGTTAGAGGGTCAAGTGTAGATGGAAGAGATTAGCTGTTTCTTTAGCTGTTTCTTGAATATGCCTAAAGACTCAGCTGCTTGGATTAAGTTGGGCAGGTCATTCCACCAGCAGGGAACAGTTTAGGTAAAAGTCTGTGAAAGTGATTTGTGCCTTTTTGGGATGGCATAATGTGCCGTTCACCTGCAGAATTCAAGCTTCTGGAGGACAGATAAGTCTAAAAGTAGTGCATTTAGGTAAAGGGGAAAACCCCAATTTCTTTCCATCCAATTTTAAGAAAATGTAGCTATGTTACTAGGTGGTAATATCGTATGAATTGGCACAATGTGATTTGTATGGAAAGGTATGAAAAGGTGTGCTCTGATTGGCCAGCTATCCAGTGCGTTGTGATTGGCTGAATACCTCAAGCGTGTGACGGAAATGTTACGTCCCTTAACATATTGTGATGCCCTGTCAGGCCGGAGTGACGAGACCAAAACAATAAAACCCATTATAAACTAAGCATTTCTTGCATCCAGTGGGGACATAATTACGGATTATAATGACTTGTACTGTCTTTTTATGCGTTGCGTTGCATCGCGCCACATAAACATAAAACCATGTCTGCATTTGTGATCAGAGAAACGACAAACTACAAGCGCTACTCTACACTGCTCAAAACTCGCGTTTGAATCGTCAGTGGCAAATTCTTTAAATATGAAAATGTACTTACAGTCCGTGAGTCAGAACAGCCGGCATTGTAGTCTACTCTCTCAGGATCAGGAGACAGTCCTCCATAAAATGTGCTGCACACATCTGAATATTTGGGTTGAAGTGTTCTGGAACAGTGTTGTAAATACAACTTAACCACTGATTTCTTGTCGTGTCCTCTTTTGGAAGACCTAACAAAGTAGTTTAACTTTCGCAACGAAACACACAGCGTCTTCACAACATGGCGGCGGCGGTGGCAGCAACATATGCAAATCTTCCCACATCGTGACGTAGACATGTGGGGGCGTGTTCAAACGAGGCATTTTAGGAGAGAAAACCTGAAATCGCATCATATGACCCCTTTAAGATTTTTTCCACGTTGAGTCTAGTAAGCTGCTTACTCAGATAGCATCATATCACAATCTTGTTTCACCGTCTTTTACAACGTAAAAATTTCAACACTGATTTAGAAGTATTTTGTTAACTTTTTAACAACTGTTCAGCATTTAATGTTGTTCATTGTTGAAGGTCAGTCACATGTTTGCTTGGTTGTCAAGGCTGATAATCTATCTTATACATCCAAAATGCAGAAAGCCTGATGTCTAAAGCACTGGAGAAACACTAGTATGGTACTATGGTAGGGTGGAGGGATGGCAGAGAGCGCATGTGCTTATCCTTGAAGGGATAGTTAACCCCAAAATGAAAAATCTGTCATCATTTAGTCACCCTCATGTTACTCCAAACCTGTATGAATTTCTTTCTTTCTTTCTTTCTTTCTTTTTTCTTCTTCTGCAGAACATAGCATTTTATGGAATTCTGGTAACCAAACAGTTTTGGTGAACATTGACTTTCGTTGTATGGACAAAAACACTGAAACATCTCTTAAATTATCTTTTAAAAGAAGAAAGTACGTCATACAGGTTACTAAATAAAGACTGTAAATGATGACATTTTGGGTGTCCTATCCTTTAACTCTTTCCCTGACAGTTTTTTTTAGTTGCCACTTGAATGTGGACAAGTTTTATTTAAAAAAAGTAACATTTTGAAGAAAATGACGCTTTTGTCAAAGATTACTTCTGGATCGGATTCAGAAAACCATCAACACCCCCAAAGCTTCACAGTCCTAAATCACTTCCTGACTCATAATTTCATTTGGTAGCATCAGGCAGTTTTGATTAATGTTTGATGGTCGCATTATTTTACATATGCGATCACTTATTTCTGCTTCTTCTTCGCCGTGTTTGGATCCAGACATTCAGTACTCTATCAGAAGATGTGTAATATTGCCTCCTACCGTATAACAGAAGACATGGAAAGCTGGAAAGTTTCATCAATGGCAGGGAAAGAGTTGAGAAAAGAGAGTATGGTGACCAATAAAGTTGTCAAGTTAGTACTGAACCTGACAAAAGCTGTGGAGGAGCCCACACAGCAGAGGAGGAGGAAAATAATTACAACAAGCAATGCATAGGCCTGAATGAACAGACATAAAGACATGGAATTACATGGACTTACATCTTATGCAAATCTTCCCACATCGTGACGTAGACATGTGGGGGCGTGTTCAAACGAGGCATTTTAGGAGAGAAAACCTGAAATCGCATCATATGACCCCTTTAAGATTTTTTCCACGTTGAGTCTAGTAAGCTGCTTACTCAGATAGCATCATATCACAATCTTGTTTCACCGTCTTTTACAACGTAAAAATTTCAACACTGATTTAGAAGTATTTTGTTAACTTTTTAACAACTGTTCAGCATTTAATGTTGTTCATTGTTGAAGGTCAGTCACATGTTTGCTTGGTTGTCAAGGCTGATAATCTATCTTATACATCCAAAATGCAGAAAGCCTGATGTCTAAAGCACTGGAGAAACACTAGTATGGTACTATGGTAGGGTGGAGGGATGGCAGAGAGCGCATGTGCTTATCCTTGAAGGGATAGTTAACCCCAAAATGAAAAATCTGTCATCATTTAGTCACCCTCATGTTACTCCAAACCTGTATGAATTTCTTTCTTTCTTTCTTTCTTTCTTTTTTCTTCTTCTGCAGAACATAGCATTTTATGGAATTCTGGTAACCAAACAGTTTTGGTGAACATTGACTTTCGTTGTATGGACAAAAACACTGAAACATCTCTTAAATTATTATATATATATATATATATATATATATATATATATATATATATATGCTCAAGGGGAGCATGAACTGACCGACAACAGAGCTATTAATGGACTGGAAATAACTCTCAGACAAACAATGAAAGTGAGAAAAGATCTGCCCGTCTTCATTAGAGACAAACCAGAGCGTAGTGCCATTCTGCAGTTAGGTCAGCTGAATAATTGAAGTGATGTTCCCTCGGCTGTCGCAGCACCATTTAATTCAGTCTCGATGTCAGCTTCGTGTTCATCATTGCTGACTCAGCTGCTGTCATGTGGGAAGATTTCCTCTTGAGGTTTGGGCCCTTGTTACTGGAGCCGATCCCGAAAGCACCATTTTTCTTTTTTTTTCTTTTTGAAGTGACCCAAGGCAGCTCGCCCAAACATATCTAAGCATATATTTAACATTTATATTTAGTCATTTAGCAGATGTTTTTATCCAAAGCGACTTACAAATGAGAACAATGGAAGCAATCAAAATCAACAAAAGAGCAATGATATGCAAGTGCTATAACAAGTCTCGGTTAGCTTAATGCAGTACACGTAGCAAGGTTTTTTATTTTATTATATAATAAATAAAAAGAAAACAGATAGAATAGAAAAAGAATAGAGCAAGTAGTGTTAGAGGCCTTTTTTTTGCTTTTTGTTAATTGTATAATAAATAAAAAGAAAACAAATAGATAGAATACAAAAAGAATAGAGAACCAAGTGTTAGTTAGTTAGTTTGTTTTTTATAAAGAAAGCAAGCAGTTAGTAAATTAATAGAGTGCAAGTCTAAAAAGGGCAAGTTTTTTTAAAGAATAGAAATAGAATAGAGAGTGCTAGAGTTAGAGGGTCAAATAAAGATGGAAGAGATGTGTTTTTAGCTGTTTCTTGAAGATGACTCAGCTGCTGGGATTGAGTTGGGCAGGTCATTCCACCAGGAGGGAACAGTTAATGTAAAATTCAATGAAAGTGATTTTGTGCCTCTTTTGGATGAACAATAAAGCGATGTTCACTTGCAGAACGCAAGCTTCTAGAGGCACATAAATCTGAAGAAATGAATTAAGGTAAAGGGGTGCAGAGCCAGTGGTGGTTTTGTAGGCAAACATTAATGCCTTGAACTTTATGCGAGCAACTATTGGTAGCCAGTGCATAGAGGTGTGGCATCCGTTCTTTTCGCCTCATTAAAAATTAATCTTGCTGCCACATTCTGTATTAATTGTAAAGGTGCACTCTAAAAAATGCTGGGTTGTTTCAACCCAACTTTGGGTCAAATATGGACTAACCCAAATTTTGGGTTGAAAATTTAATGTAAAAAATTAACCCAACGGTTGGGTTGAAACAGCCCAGCATTTTTTTGAGTATATGATAGAAGTGGCTGGAAGACCTGCCAAGAGAGCATTGCAATAGCCCAGCCTGGACAGAACAAGAGCTTGAACAAGGAGTTGTGAAGCATGTTCTGAAAGAAAGGGCCTGATCTTCCTGATGTTGAATAAAGCAAATCTGCAGGACCAGGTAGTTTTAGCAATGTGGTCTGAGAAAGTCAGCATATTTTGATAGATATTTTCAATGTTGCTTTGGACGCCACTGGCTATAATTGTATGAGCAAAAAAATTCTTCAGCTGCTTCAGACATTCTTAAACTTTTTCTTAAAAATTATGACAGAATTTTCTAATGCCTTCAAACCTGGCATATATCTGTCCTCACAGGCAGTTCACCTGATGAAAATAGGGGCACCTACATCGCTGTGTTCATCGGAAAAGAGAAACGTGATGGGCGCTGGAATGGTCGCGTGATTGGCACGCAAGGTAATGATGTGACAGTGGGCATAACACCTGACGCCAGCTGCATCATTGGCCGCTTCCGCACCTTTGTAACAGTAGTGACTGATTTTGGAAAACAGCGCACTCAGAGGAACCCCGACACTGATTTCTATGTGCTGTTCAATCCTTGGGACCCTGGTGAGTACAAGTATAACACTTTGTTTTGTGTACCGACATCACTTGTATGGATGGCAACAAACCCTAAGATTTTATGCATGTATCATAATGCATGTATCTCATATATGTTGGCACACAACACAGCGGATCTGGTGTATGTGTCCAGAGATACCGACAGACAGGAGTATGTGTTGAATGATGTGGGGATCATCTACAATGGAGAATTCAACAACATAACCTCCCGTTCATGGAACTACGGCCAGGTCGGCAGTTTTCTGGAGATGTTTCTTCACGAAGAAAACAAATGTTCTAACTCTTATGGTGGACTATTCAACCTGATACCTTCATTTAACATTTTATATGGTTTCCTGTAGTTTGAAGAGGGGGTTCTGGATGCCTGTCTTTTGGTTCTGGATGCTGGGAAAGTACCTCTGCTGTACCGTGGAAATGCCATTGAATTAGTTCGGCTGGGATCAGCCCTGGTATGATTTAATATGTTGTTGTATGAATATCATTAGCATTCTTTTTTTTATCAACACTTGAACGTGGGCAAGTTTCATAAAAAAAAGCAACATTTTGAACAAAATTACATTTTTGTCAAAGACTACCTCCAGATCGGATTCAGATCGTTGATCAAATACTTTGATCGTAGATCGCTTCCAGAGGTGTAAATACCATACCTGAAAACCATACTTGAGTAAAAGTACAGATACCTTACGGTGACAGTGACTCAATTACAAGTTACAAGTCACCAATTCCAATACGACTTGTGTAAAAGTCTTAGAGTATCTGATTTTAACAGTACTCAACAGATGCACTGTTCCTCAACACCTAATGCCGAGTTCACACTGCATGATTTTCAAAGTCATCGGATCACCTTTGTTTTCACACTGTACGACTATCTGGGCTAGCATTCAGTTGCTGCTGCGTTTAAATTGCATGATGGATACCAAAGTTTTGTGCATTTTATAATGAGCTTATTTCTTATACAAAAAGAAAAATGCAATAGCCTAAATTTTTTGTCCTTTACAGAAGAATATGAGATGTTCACTTGCAGAACGCAAGCTTCTAGAGGCACATAAATCTGAAGAAATGAATTAAGGTAAAGGGGTGCAGAGCCAGTGGTGGTTTTGTAGGCAAACATTAATGCCTTGAACTTTATGCGAGCAACTATTGGTAGCCAGTGCATAGAGGTGTGGCATCCGTTCTTTTCGCCTCATTAAAAATTAATCTTGCTGCCACATTCTGTATTAATTGTAAAGGTGCACTCTAAAAAATGCTGGGTTGTTTCAACCCAACTTTGGGTCAAATATGGACTAACCCAAATTTTGGGTTGAAAATTTAATGTAAAAAATTAACCCAACGGTTGGGTTGAAACAGCCCAGCATTTTTTTGAGTATATGATAGAAGTGGCTGGAAGACCTGCCAAGAGAGCATTGCAATAGCCCAGCCTGGACAGAACAAGAGCTTGAACAAGGAGTTGTGAAGCATGTTCCGAAAGAAAGGGCCTGATCTTCCTGATGTTGAATAAAGCAAATCTGCAGGACCAGGTAGTTTTAGCAATGTGGTCTGAGAAAGTCAGCATATTTTGATAGATATTTTCAATGTTGCTTTGGACGCCACTGGCTATAATTGTATGAGCAAAAAAATTCTTCAGCTGCTTCAGACATTCTTAAACTTTTTCTTAAAAATTATGACAGAATTTTCTAATGCCTTCAAACCTGGCATATATCTGTCCTCACAGGCAGTTCACCTGATGAAAATAGGGGCACCTACATCGCTGTGTTCATCGGAAAAGAGAAACGTGATGGGCGCTGGAATGGTCGCGTGATTGGCACGCAAGGTAATGATGTGACAGTGGGCATAACACCTGACGCCAGCTGCATCATTGGCCGCTTCCGCACCTTTGTAACAGTAGTGACTGATTTTGGAAAACAGCGCACTCAGAGGAACCCCGACACTGATTTCTATGTGCTGTTCAATCCTTGGGACCCTGGTGAGTACAAGTATAACACTTTGTTTTGTGTACCGACATCACTTGTATGGATGGCAACAAACCCTAAGATTTTATGCATGTATCATAATGCATGTATCTCATATATGTTGGCACACAACACAGCGGATCTGGTGTATGTGTCCAGAGATACCGACAGACAGGAGTATGTGTTGAATGATGTGGGGATCATCTACAATGGAGAATTCAACAACATAACCTCCCGTTCATGGAACTACGGCCAGGTCGGCAGTTTTCTGGAGATGTTTCTTCACGAAGAAAACAAATGTTCTAACTCTTATGGTGGACTATTCAACCTGATACCTTCATTTAACATTTTATATGGTTTCCTGTAGTTTGAAGAGGGGGTTCTGGATGCCTGTCTTTTGGTTCTGGATGCTGGGAAAGTACCTCTGCTGTACCGTGGAAATGCCATTGAATTAGTTCGGCTGGGATCAGCCCTGGTATGATTTAATACTTTGTTGTATGAATATCTGAACATGCAATATGTCAAAAGAAAGAACGTAGCCTCTGCGTTTAAACAAAAAACTAAACAAATAGTTGTATTCTAGCTTCATGCATTCCTGGGCAAGTTTAATTAAAAAAAGCAACATTTTGAAAAAAAAAAACTGAGAAAGTCAAATTTTTCTCAAAGACTACGTCCAGATCGGATCCAGATCGATGATCAAAACATAGAAGAAGTAGATCGCTAAAGAGTACCCGAAAACCATACTTGAGTAAAAGTACAGATACCTTACGGTGACAGTGACTCAATTACAAGTTACAAGTCACCAATTCCAATACGACTTGTGTAAAAGTCTTAGAGTATCTGATTTTAACAGTACTCAACAGATGCACTGTTCCTCAACACCTAATGCCGAGTTCACACTGCATGATTTTCAAAGTCATCGGATCACCTTTGTTTTCACACTGTACGACTATCTGGGCTAGCATTCAGTTGCTGCTGCGTTTAAATTGCATGATGGATACCAAAGTTTTGTGCATTTTATAATGAGCTTATTTCTTATACAAAAAGAAAAATGCAATAGCCTAAATTTTTTGTCCTTTACAGAAGAATATGATTTACAGGAAAAACCCTAGCCCCCTTTTATGTTTAATTGTATTATTTTATTTTATTATACTGTATATATATATATATATATATATATATATATATATATATATATATATATATATATATTTTTGCTCTCACACACATATG